CCCCGCCACAATCGACAAAGCCCGCGCGTTTAGAATTTGAAATGTCGAATCATTTGCGACGCGTAATGGCGGAATAATGCGTGCGGATAACATCGTTATCGAACACGATTTTGATGCCATTTTCGACACAAAAGGAGGTATTTCTCTTTGCTCGAAATAGCGATTATAGATTATTACAAGCTCGATGTCTTTTCTCGCTCTTTACAAAGGGTTTGCTGTTTCAGGTAGTTGGCGTAATGATAGATGTAATTTTTTGCGCGGCGCGGCGAAACTGCGACCGATTGTGAGTATAATTTTAAATGTATAAAGAAGATGTATCGAATTGAGAATCTATATACTAAGCTTCAGACGCAACTAGAAGGCTAATTTTTATACGTGTGTTGCTCACGTAACATATTTGTAAAACATATTTGTAAAACATATTTGCATCGCATGGATATTTCACCTTTGTCCTGCTTTTTACGTAGCCCTGAAATAACCGAGACATAAATATAATCGATTTGAAATTCTAGAAGATCGGGAATTCGTTGATAGGAAGGAAATGAATTTGCGATAAATTTACATTTTATTTCTTATGTTATATTACACTATAGACAGGCTTTTCATTCGCGTATGTGTCTATCCTTTGGAAAATGGCAGTAGTGCTCAAACGTACGTAGACCCAAAAAAAGATGGCAGTAAATTCAGCTAATGTCGCTCCACAATTAAGTAGCGCTTAACGATTATAACAAGTACGTTCTGTATGCCAAACATTGTTTTGGATCACGTATGTTCATCGAAAGCGAAGGGGGAAAAGTGAATCGGATTGTGTAATGTATCTCCAATAATATTCAGCTTTTGTATAATTATTAACAATGTAGAATTCGAAGCGTCCTTACTTTTATATATAGAAAAATTGGATTATTAGATTCGAATAATTTTCTAATTATTTACAATAGTATTTTTTCAACAGTAATTCGTTTTTCCATTACGTCAAAAATAAATGGTTAAAAGAAAATTACAGGAATTCGTTTTGTAAAACTGAATTCTTAATTTAGACGAAGAATTAAGCAGTTTGAAACTGTTTGCATTAATTGCTGTCTGCAATAGAAAAATATAGAAATTTAAAGAGATTTATAAGTCAAGTAAACGGAGAAGTCATAATTTTATAAAATAAATTTCTACCAAAACTTTTTAATCACCTATTTTTATAAGAATCCACCAAAAAAATTCTGTTATTTAAAAAAGTTATATAAAAAAACGAGAAAGATGGAAAATAAAAGAATTTCTTGTCAAATAATAAAACTTATTTGAAATTTCTTACTAGTTCAAACGACTGTTATGTCAAATTTTTATCTTGATCTTATTTGTGACGGTTATCTGTAATTCTGTTATACGTAATTCTGTTAAATGATCTGCATAACTACGTCAATTTCGTCGTTGTCATTATTGTATAATATTAGATGTTCGTCACTTGTAATTTTTCTACATATTGAGAAGTCAGTTCATTCATTTTTATTCTGTGTCAGGACAATATGCGAGGATTGATATAGTAATCCTAATTTAATAAAATTTCCTAATTTCACATCCGATTCACGCTTCACGATCGCATTCTTTACGACGAAGTCGCTACAATGTTCTATAGACTTAGCGAGGTCCTTCTTGGAATATTGTTAGCACACAGTATGGTTTTTACCTTCTGATTTTCGTTTCAAGTATTAGCAATCGTCGTCGTAAAGCTGTGCCCTCAAATTTCCAATAGGTTTTCGTGGCGAATGTCTTACATTTTCCCGTACTGCCGTATAACGAGTAATTTTTGGGTCTTTTCGTATCATATATAATGTTACACAATGACAAAGCACACTGAGACACTGCGCCAATCCAATAGAAAAACAATATCGTCGTTATTGTGCCGTTAGTATTCACAGATCGAAGGGACGTAGAACCGCAAGGATAGACTCCTGTATGTCCCGCGGCGATTTTTTTACTCTCGTCGTTTTTCATTTTCCTAAGAGTTCGCTCGCTAGTAGGTAACGACTCGAAAATCAAAACATTTTCCTTCATCGATTACAAGTTTTTGTTTATAAGCGTAGTATTTCGATTTATCTAGCGACTAATCGACCGCGTTAATCGTCACGTAAATCATATGCGCAATTGCGATACAAAAACAATGACGATCATGAGTGACCAGTGAGTGGAGAGTAAGCTAAACCATCTATCTAGTGAAGGTGTAATGTTGTACTTTGAATTATCATAAATGTAAACTATGCTATGTAAAACTTCCACTTATAGTACTTGTTGCTCTAGAATCAATTAATTGTCAATCACGCGTTGTTCTTCAATTTATTCCGCGTAATACATTTGACGTAAGTAAAATCTAAATAGCCATGAGAGATGTCGCAAAAATGACGGTTTAAATATTATAAAAGATTAAAATCTCGAAGTCTGCACGAAGATATGAAAATTTAAAATCTTTATCGTTTATATATCGAGATGGTCCCTGCGGGATTTTAAATTGTATTGTATACATTATTTCTTTGGCTGCATATATATATATGTATATATAATTACAAAAACATAAAGTTTCATTTCACTACAATTAGATTCAAAATTGATATATCTCAGATTTTGTATCGTACTAACAAAATGTGTCTAACAAGTGCACGGAAATATAGAATCTATGATTTAATAGACGATACATTTAATGGCTATATTAGGGGGCTACTTTCTTCCTTAACGTTTACGGAAAATCTTAAGAAATGAATTGAATCGATCGTCATTGATGTACAATGTTTAAATTGGAATAACAATAGCAAAGAGAGAAGAAGAGAAGCACGTTTGGAAGCAACCGTTACTCAGATCAGCGTAGGGTTATTAATAATATAGGTAGAATATCGGTTTCATACACATAATAAGACAACGTATATTAATGGATATACAAGAGAAATTTAGTTATAATTTGTTTATGGACAGAGTGTAGAGACATGAATATGAAGTGTGAATGTAAAAAGTATAATAATTATCAAAAATAATAAATATTCAAAATAATATAAACGCAGGTTGTATATTCGCTATTCGGTTATAATTCGCGAAGGTTAAATAATATTCAGTGACGTCACAATTTTGTGATAATAAATATTTAATCAAATATTATAATCGCGAATATTATACCAAATATTACAAAATGCTACGCAATCGCATTTGATATGCTTATGATATATTGCTGTGACTTATAAAGTACGCGAAAAATAAATAAATAAATATGTCGTACAGATAAATAAATAAATAAATAAGTCATGATTTATGCCTTATTAAGCGTTTACGGCTAAGCCTTGGTACAAAAAACCTATAGAGTTAATTGAGGAAAGTATGTAACTCGTGTTTGACGGACGGATTCGTGCAAAGGAGAATCAGAATTAGGAATATATCACGTATCACAAGCGAAAATATCGACCAGTCCAGTCCATCTGCTCTGTCCATCCTTCTACGCTAGAGACGCTAATTATTCGGCGATAGATCTTGAAAGAATCGTATCCACATCCGCATTAAGTTGAAATGGTTTCAACTCCACTCTCGTTTGCACGATGCCGCATAATACTCGCCGTGTTAATATGTCGTCTATTTGCTGCGATAATTACATGCACCGATCGATCTGCACATGTAAGAAGCGGTAGACTCAAAACTCGCAACGTGAAAGCACTCGCTGTGCGATTGATATTTGCGCGAGGTAATTTGACCCTTAACTGGAAAGACGACGTCTTTTGTGTCGACGAACTTGTTTTCGCTAAATTTGAAAGATACTTTAATTGAAGCGAATTCATAAATTAAATCTGTCGAATTCGCGACTGAAAGACGACATTAAGCTTTAGCGACAGAATTATGTTATGTACGTATCGTACACGAAGAACTGATGTCTTTCCGTTTGATGTCCATATTTTACCAGTTAAGGGCAAACGAACGAATTGAAAATTTCTAACGTTAAAAAGGCTTAAGATGGTCGAGTCTACCGTTTGGCGTGATCTAAAACTAGGACATAAAATTTCGTTTATTTTGAAAAATACTGTACACAAGAATACCTAAGGCGCGTTGACGTTCATGTTCTTCGCGTTTAGACGTGTATCGAAGCTGCGACTATATACGATGGAACCGATACATTTCCGCCGTAATAAAGAGGAATAAACGTGCCGGACAATGACAAGACTGGGTAGAGACAGAATTGATCTTTTCACTCGATAATATCCATCCTCCTTCGGTAAAAGTGTAAAGTTGCTGCGTTCATCTCTTTAAGAATCGGAAGAAGCCTTTGCTCTTATCTGGCGGTGGTGCCATCAGCATCGGTACTTGATTTTTGTGCGTAATACGAATCTGCGCCGGGAAAATATTTTTAATCTTTCCATTTAATTTGTAATTTATATATGAAGATATTAATATCAACATATGAAGATTATTACATATTAATTATGTTCCATAATGGAATACACTGAAAAAAAGTCTGGTAAATAATCATAACAATCAAATTTAGACAATAGTTACTAAAGTTTTGGTGAAATAATTTCAATCAAATATAACATTAAAACTAATTAAACTAATTAAGCTAATTTTTTTCTAAATATTATCTTACTTTTCTAATTATTATTAAACGCTTGGTTACTATTATGTTAATATTTATTAAATATTTACTAAATGTTGTACGCTAAACAAAATACATTTGGTAGCTATTACCAGACTTTTTTCAGTAATATGAACTTGGGAACAGGAATTTATTCTAAATAATATTTGTATAAATCAAACTGCACAGAACGTCTTGATAATTTAATATAAAATTATACGTTTAAGACATAATTTAAAAAAAGAGAAAAGAATATTTTATTCTCTCCCAATAAAGTGTTCGATAAAATCTTGAAGAAAAAATCTGGCTCATGTTTCAAAAATTTCTGTCACATTTGAATAAATATTCAAATTTTATTGTTTGATTTCAGCTCACCGTGCAAGGACCCTGCATCCAAGGTTCACCATCGATTTGCATGGGGAATCGTTTGCTCGTGATGATGGTGACGCTGCTACACTGGGCCAACCTCCGGCCGGAATGTCGGAGTCCAGTCTTCACTTGACCCATGTGCAAACAGTTCTCCAGACCAATTACCTCTATCAGATTGTCCCCGATGTCTGCGGATAGTGGGTAAGTACTGAATATTACTAAACGCTTCTTCGCATTCTATTTGCATACGTTTTTCTGTGAAGCGTGGGAATATTATGTTGGAAGATTAATTATTTCGCGCGTTGAGCTCACCTTGAATAGCGGCCGTGAGATCTACGGAATTGAAGCTGCTTGTACTGAGTTCTTTGTCGGGTCGCTTTTTTCGCTTGCCAAGACGGTGCCGCGTGTGATGTTCGCCCCAGAGATTCGAACCTCCGTGAGTGAAAGGAATGTTTAGCAATGCGACTCCTTGCAGAGATGGACCGTGCGCTAAATCCAGAGGCGTACCATCGCACTGTAATCGATGAAATGCATGTAGCGTCACGAATTCCATTGATTCCGTTGAATTGATTGATTACGGATTTGATTGTACGTATTTAGGACGATGTTAGAACGGAAGTGGATGATTAATTCTTGTTCCGCGCTTGGTATTTGAATATTTCGACTCTATTCGATATACTGACCCATTAATCGAATGAAGAAATTATATATACACGTACGATATACAGAGATTATATTGACAAAAAAATATACTAAATTTTAATAAATATTTGTTTGAATAATACTAACTAAATATTTATTAAATATAAAGATATATTTATTTAATACAAAAACTATTAATTTGATTTAACTATAATTTTTTTATTGAGTAAATATTTAGCTAAAGTACTATTGAAAAAAAATGTATTAAAAGATATAGTAAATTTTTTCTTAGTATACATATATAGGTATGCTCACAATTATCTCGAGATCTTCGTGAAGATTTTTACAACTAGCAGCGAACTGCTCCGTGGTTGCGTATTCGAAGTACCACAATTTATTTTTCATTCTGCTATTAAATTTCTCGGGATTTTTTTCCCTCTCCATGTGAAATTTCACGCATATAGCGGCGTCGACGCCCACCGAGAAATAATTATTAATGATATTATATGGTATGCTATCTTGATTCGGTTTTTTCTCGTCCTTTTGATCCACTTCTATTTGCCAGCGATCCATCATCACTTGTGTCGCCCTCTCTATTTTCTGCGAATCGTTAAGGTTTCCATGTATAGCGAATTTCCACGGTGTAATTTAACGTTAAATAATAAAACATCCGATTTTTTATTGAGATATAAAAATAGAAGATATTTTCTCATAATACAAGGGAACACAATCAAATGTGCCCTTTCGATTTTAATAAGCTTTGGATGTGTTAAAATATAGACATGTATTTTTTTACAAGTGTTTTCCCTTTCACGTTAAGAGAGTGAGAAACCCACCATTGAAAAATTTTTTCTTTTTAATTCTTCTTACTAAATAAATATCGTATAAACTGTCAAAGATATTAAAAAATATGTTAAGAAAAGTTAAATATGGTTTCAAGAATATTTCATAATAATAATAATAATAAAAATCTTTTTAATTCTTTTTCATAAATAAAAAAATTTTATTTGAAAGAAGTTTTTTATCATTATTATAAAGTACTTTTGAAATCATTCAACTTTTATTTAAAACTTTTTTTATATCTTTGAATCACTTAGAAAGAAAAAACCGATTTTCCTAAAGGGGGGGGGGTTTCACCCATTAACATACGAGAAAACAATTTCTTCTTTTTGTTTATATTTTAACACATTCAAAGCTTATTAAAATCGGAAGGGGACACTTAGTTATATTCTCTTGTCAGTTAGAACACTGAGAAAAATGTTAGACTAATTGAAATTTTGATTAAAAATGGACGAATCAAAATTTTCTGATTAAATCTATTAAAATTCTAGTTAAGATAATCAAAATTCTGATTGATCAAAATCTTTTGATTTGTCCATTTTCAACCAGACATTCTTCTCAGTGAATCTATAACGTATATTAAAATATGTACGTTAGAAAATATGTTAGAATAGAACGTATATTAAAAATGTATACTGTTTGCTTTACCTTCAGTACTTTGTGTATCGCTTCTCCTTCGTAACCACCACCCCAACGTAAGCACCTGGCAAGATCATTGCCTGTACCAAGAGGTATAACGCCAACGGCAGGTTGTTTCTCGAATTGCACACGATCTGGATGAAATAGTTATGAAAGCATTGATTACAACATGCGGTTGCTGTTACCATCAAACGTTAAATTATTAGTAATCAATTAAAGCGGCATCGAAAAGCAATTTCGAAATGATGAACTTGTTATGCGTAATCGTAATTAATAAGGGAAGGTCTATTAAAATCCAGGCTATTCACTGGCCTATATAGTAGTCGTTGAACCTATTATCGGATTTAATACACGCACGATTAACAATTAGCACACAATATTGCAAAATTTATTACAAAGCTTTCACGTGTCGTTATACAACCATTATTCATTTTACTCGCGTTTTCGGTATAATTGGATACACACATCGTAATTAAATCGTGATACATACCCATAGTTTCTAAAACCCAGCCAACTGTTCCATCGCCGCCGCAACAGATTACGTTAAAATTTTCCACATCCTTAAACATCTGTAGGCCCTGCATGGGCCCACCGATTGCTAGATTGTGAACTTGCCGAGGATTTAGAACGTATTGAAACTTCCGTAACATTCGCTCCCCTTGCCGACCGCCCGATTTTGGATTTATAAAAACCAAAAGCGGCGTTGTACCTTCCGGTGGTGTAATTTGAAAAGACATAGCTGGTTGCTGATTCGACCCACTACCGCAGCTCAGGAAAACACCCTATTTTAGATTAAAATATGGTCATTATATTTTAACACGCACTTACCGTATCGACTCTTTATTGCCCTTTATCATTTATTTTTGTTGATATCTTGCAGAGATAACAAGACTGCTTAAGTTATTTACTTTTTTTATTTACTTTGATTTTTACTGTTTCAGATTCATTGCATTTATTTGTATGTTATAAAACATGCGACATTTCGTTAGTATCCCGTTTGAAAGCATAATCTCTTAATTTTAATTTTAATTTTCTCAAGCATCTTAGAAAGCTGTAAATAATTTGATTATAACTAATAATTAAAAACTGTAATTTATTGCGAAAAATATTACCTCAGCCGAGATTTGAACTCGAGTTTTCCTAATTCGATTTCCCAAATTTCGATCATCGAGATATGTGATAATATTAATTATTTACAGTTTTTAAGATTCTTATAGACATCAAATTATTAACAGATTTCTAAGATTCTTATTTGCATCAATAATATTAAATTGCTTGTCAATTTAATTTGCGATATTACTATTCCAGTGTCGATTTAAGACAAATAATCGCACAGTTTACTTAAACTGGAAATTGTTTAAATTCACGAGAAATATTATTAGGCACGAAGAACCGCCTTGACTGAATATGGTATGAGATTGTATTTTATATATATTTGTTTCTTCACGAGGACTTTCCTTCGAGAATTCCTTCGAGAGGACTTTCAGTAATAAGAGATAATTAATATGGATGATTGTGTATTGCACTTACGGAACTGACCGACGAGCTGTCCTGACAGAGTTTGCTACCACGTTTGTTGTCCTTCGACAATGACCTTTGTCTCTCGAGTACAACAGGGCAAATTGCCGTAGGTGGAAGGATGTGTATCGCATGATCGCCGAGCGTACATTCTGCTCGCACTTGTGACGCACATTTATTGTGCAACTGCAATATTTCCGCGGAAATATTTACATGAACGGTTAGGGATGCTGTTACATTATTACTTCAATGAATAAAATTTACACATACATGTATATATTTGTTGTGCATATTTAATGCGCGTATTTAAATTTTTTAATTATCTTAAATTTTGTCTGCATTATTTAATTAATTATATTAAAGAATCAATATAAAAATCATTCTCATATTGAATAATTTACAATTAAAGACAGAGAGAGAGAGAGAGAGAGAGAGAGAGAGAGAGATGAGGTCTCTAAAATATTTATCTTGTCAATAAATTAATTATTTTATAACATCTTTAAATTTCTCTTTTTCTTTTTTCCTTCTGTCACTCTCTCTCTCTCTCTCTTTTCTCACATATGAATATATTTTGGACTTTATTTTGAATAATGAATATAATTAATTTTAAATATATGTTACAAGATGTTTACACGTATACACACGCATACACATTGCGTTGTATTCTACTTGATTGATATCAACTTGGAAAAAATAATACTCACGGTTAATTGACACCATCTGCAGCGTAAACCGGTAATGCCATTGTAACTTTTGATGGTCTTTCTGCATTTGGAACATTTTCCATGGCAATTACCTTCGACCCAATGATGAGCCATTGTTTGAGGTGTCTTCTTACTCTTAACATATGTGGCTATGCAGGATGCTGGCGCTCTTTGTACGCACCTCTCATGTACCGTGTATTTGCAAACTGACCCGAAAGAAAGGATTGTTATTTAACGATTGTAACATCGTTGGTTTTGAATAAAATCTCGTTTTTAGAGATGGTTACGTACTTCATACGATTCTGTTTTTGCAATAGCTACTCTAATTTAACTTGTTCTGGTATCGCGAAGTAGAGGTAGCAATAAGGATTTCTTACTCACAGACGCAACATAGCCCTTTCTTGCCGAGGCCAACCAACATATTTAGACAGAGATTGCAGTACGCGGGTTTGCTGAAATGTTTTAGCCTCCACAGATGGTTTCCGTCTTCCTTCACGTGGGAATCCAAACCCAGAAGAACTAGCAGGGGTATTGTCGTGAGGCCACCTCTCTTCCATTCTTCCAGCGAAACTGTACCATCTGCGTCGTAGTCAATTTCTATCATCATATCTTGCAGAATCTAAAATCGAATTACACTTTCTATTGTATTCTATTGTATTGGTCCCGTATAATTGTTAGCTATCTTCGAAATATTTCTTCGTTTTTCTTTGATCTTTTCTCGTAATAGAAAAGTTATTAATTGAATTGTAATGGAAAGACGATCAATCCTCAAAATCCGAATCTACTGAAAACAGAGTTCATTCCTACCTACCGGCTTTAACTCGCTGACGTCCCAGCCGAGATACTCCGCGACATTCATCATTTGATTTACGATACAGTCCATCTCCTAGATACACATGATGATAATATTAGTAATAACGGTAAAGAACAACCGTTACATCATACGCTCCATGACGCGTACCATTTATTAAAATTATATGTACAATGTCTCGAAATATTGATCATTCTTTGAAGTTTTGTATATGTATAAGCAAATATACATCCTTTCCTTATATATCGATCATACATATAATATCTTTCATCTTTCATTAAAAACTCGTGTTTTCTTCGTGGCTTTCTTTTTATTTGCCCTAGATAGATGCCAATGGAAGCAACGGCTTCGCCGCATATTTTCATCTGCTTTTTCCGCGGTTCCGCTATCGGCAACGTGAATATTTATCGGCTGCACAATTTGTATACCGCGATATCAATGATTTATTCAACATGGAACTCATTATACGGGCGATCGTCGTTTTCCCGGCATCCTTCTTGGCCGTAATTTCATGTCAACAACACATAAATCGCGCCTCCGCTCTATATATATGTATATGCATCAATATGCACTAGGCATTGATCTCGCGCCCGAATGACAAATGTATTGAACACCTGCTGCCATAAACAATTTCAAAGGTAAAACACTTATTTTGCTGTTCCGCAACTATCGTATGGTATCTTAAAATCAATGTCGAAACGACAGAATTCTAATGATCCATAAAAATTCTACCGAACAAGGTACATGCTTAATTATTTTAACTATATTCTGAGATTAATGAATATAATGATAACGTTTATTATTAATGTTCTATTATTTAGAAAAAAAAAGATTGATAAATATAGTAGTATGACGTTATTTATTGATGTACGATAAGCGTATAATGAAACAATATTGATATAAAATGAATCGTTTTCACATAATAATAATAATAACAATGCATTAGTTAACTGAAACAGTTTTCCGGGTATTCAATTGCAAAGAGGTCAATGATGCGCGTCATCGAGGCATCGGAAATTGTACTCGTTCTACGTAATTCATGTTGTAACGGATCGCAGAGGGTACATGTCAATTGACGTGTCTGTTATGGGTGCAGCCAACAATATGGAACAAGTATTTATCTCTTCTATTAATATCAGCCGGAGCTATTCTATACCGCCGTTGTTACTTAAGCAACAAAGGTCAATCTATTTTCGTTGAGAAAAAGTCAGTTTCGTTCGTGTAAATTGGAATCAGAATTATTTTTCACCTTTTGTCGAGCATATCGATTGCTTAATTAAAATGTGATTATTTTAACATTATGCGATGACACGGCATTTATTTGGTATTTAACCCCTATGACAATATATTAAAACTGTATTTAATATGTAGCCACAATATATCCCCCAGCAAAAAAAGTCACAGTAATATCACAATAGTCATGATGACATACGAATGTCCGCTTTGTTACAGGTGTGACAAAGCTATGACATCATTATGAATTAAGCTGTGATAAAAATTGCACTTCACTGTGACACTGCTATGATACAGTACATGTATATCCATTAAGGTAATAATATGATGTTACACTGTGATCTTTTGATAATTTCACAGTGGCATCACAATTTATCCATGACTATTGTAAGTCTTGTGATGTGAATGTGACTTTTTTTGCTATGGGGGATATATGATCATATATGACAATTAATGACATTTCCGCTTAGTATGAGCGATATTGTAAGACAGCATTATATGTGTTCTCTGTTTGTGCGTGATCCGCATTAACTGATAACGATGATTCTTTACTCACGTTCGTATCAAGGACGCCATTCCCATCCGTATCATACAGCCGGAACATGACTGAAAAAAAGGATTATCGAGTTAACACAAGACGAAATTGCCGCGCAACAAGTTGCAGCTGCACTACAAGTCCACACGGAATGGACTTGTAACAACTATAGCAGAAAATCGAGAAGGACTGCCGGCCGACACGCGAGTCCTCTCGTAAATTTTATAGATACGTCTATCATTCTCGTTTCTTTTTTTTCTCATATGTGTTACTTCAATATTTCTCTCTGAGGGCAAAATATTTGATTAATTAGCATTTTTTTCAAAATATTTCGCAGATAGAAAAACATGTTTACACAAAAGGATTCAACTTCTTCAGCTCTTGTTATTTTAACGTATTATTATTTCAATATTTTTCAAATAATATTTTTCATTGCCTTTTTCTCTTTCTGTGAAAATACCTTCAAATGTTTTTCAAAGAAGGTACACATATGAAAAAGTCTAATAAACTCTACCTACACTGAAAAGCAAATGCGCGATTTTTTTTTAAAAGATTAGAGTCGCTGGATTTTCAAGCCCGGAGATATTCATGATGATATTGTATATACTTCGCGAAACAATTTTTTACTGTGTACGCGCACGTGAAATATCGCTTTGATAACGTTCTCCTAAAAACGAACGAGATTTATGCGGGAACATGTTTTTTGATTATACAGGAAATAACCATGTAATCGTTATAGCATCGATCCCGGCTACAGAAAACAATACCGGGTCTGTTTCAAAGCATCGTTGATCATCCGCTAACGAATTATTCGGTATGAAAGTTAACGAGAGTTTCGCGAATTTCGAGATAATTGTTGTTTTGTGGCAATTACTTACATTCCAGTTTATCTTCCGGTCTGCCGGCTTCCAAGAGAGAGAGATAACAAACGATGTCTTTGAGGCTAACTTTAACGGACTGAACGTCTATTGTGCTTTGCTTTCTGACAAGATGTCTCATCTCTGGAAAACAGAAATTTAATTTGAGATCTCGCTAGATGATTTATGGTTACTGGTCAATAAGCGTGACGTTAATGCAATATTATCAAATAACTTGATCATAATTCATAAATTTATAGATAAATATTTTAGAAGTTGAAACATAATGCATCCTAAAATACATACATTAAATATCAGATAATTTATATATTATATATTATATTATATTATTAATTATATTATATTATAGTATTAATTTTTATAGTGAAATTACTCTAATTATACTTTTCAAATATTAAGGACATGATTTTTTAATTGATCAGTATCATGAATAAAATTGTAGAAATTATCATAATTACTATTTTCATTTCAAAAAAGTTAAACCAAATTTTCATCAGGATTTTCCTTAACGTCGCATTTTGCGGAAAAATCCCTGTTAAAGTATCTAGATGTCGGGTAAAGTGAGAATCGCCAGACTTACAATATGATGGATCTGTCCCATATTTCATAGAAAATTCACTATGCACTCTGATGTTAAAGTAAACGGAAAATTCACGATTTCAAAGGGATGGTCAAGCCGTATTTTTAGATAAACATTCACATGGACTTGAGTAATTGTACCTAAAAGTTTAAAAGACCTGTTGCTTCGTTCGAAGCAATGCAATTGTCAATATGTATAAGCGATGAATTGGATTTGTCATAATAGATTGTTATAGAGTTTAGTCGCGACTCGAGACAGGTCGACGACGTCTAGCCCGTATTTCTGGATCGCCTATTTATATCCAAATCGCCATGTAGTTCTGCATGAATCAATGCAACTGTACATCGATTGGATCGCTGTCGACAAAATTTATTCTTGCGTACTATCACGATTTCGAAATTTGAATTGCCGGGAGACTGAAATTAATATCGATGAATTCGCATTTCGAATAAAAAAAAACACGCGAAAGCAATCTCTTGCTCGCGATAAAATGGAAAAGTGATAACAGAAAATTGATAGAAGATACATTTTGCGTTTCTATCGAATGAGGAAATAAACTTATTAATATCACATCGCTTTTGAAACCCTATTATAAATGTTATATCATTTTGATAACAGTCAATTTAGCATTAATTTCACTTTCAAACATAATTTATTAGAGACAAGATCGATATTATCTACATATACAAAGGACACATATAATTTTGTCCCGAAAGGTTTATAACTTTGAATATGTCCCATGAATACATAATTATATATTTTCCATTAATAGAAGAATTAGCATACGATTTTTCAATGGTTCGGGTTTTCTGCTCTTATTTTTAGATGACATCGCGTGTCTCGCAGGAATAATTTTGCACGACGATGAACAAGTTAAAAATAAACTTTCGCACGAGACGATACGTCGCGCGAACTAACGCAGTCACGCGCTTTATCCATGCGAGATCGTATATTTTTTTACGCTAGAACGATTCAATTTATTCCAAGTGAAAATCACGAAAAACTCGTAACTTAGGGAAAAAATTGTTTGGCAACGGCGATGCGCGACGTTCTGATCGATCGTGTACGTGATGATTAATCACCGTGACATTCAGCTGAAACTTTAAATCAATCTACTAAATTATTTTCTATTGCTTACTGTCTAAATTCTTTAGAGTGGAATTTCACTCTGAAATGTTAAATTTGAATCAATCTTGAGAAAGAGTGGTTTAACTTTCAATTTTTAAGAGTGAGCTTTCACTCTAAAAGTTTTAGAGAATACACATAAATGTCCACGTAATATCCATATTATCTACATTTCGAGTAGTGAAATACTTTTTTTCCTCTTAATATGGACGGTTTATCAAAATTTATTTGACGTAATTTCATAACCATATGCAATGTTTGACTTTGCTTCTTGTTTTAATGAAAATCTATGATAATCATTGACGAGTTCATTAAATTGAACTAATTATTATTTGCGGATTGTGTAGCATGGATTAGTTGGTTTAGTCGATTTCGCGTGAATAAATTGATTGACGTATTTGATCGCGTGAATAAATTGATTGACGTATAACACGTGGATTAAAAATGTATTTGCGTATGTCGCTTATTAATTGTACACACATATAATAAAATTATCTTTCTCGCGCTTAGTGTGGAGATTATCTCGGCATAAACATTTATTTTCGTGACTTTCGAATCTTCGAAAGTCACGAAACTTATCTCACCTTCCTTCAGCTTCACTCCCGATACGTTTGGTAACTGGACCATTTTCCACTATTAAGAGCGATGAAAAAAAAGGAAATTGTTCTCTCAAGATCAGATTATCTAATCCTTTTGTATTGTCTAATTATTAATCAGAATCAAATAATAAGATTAACTCGAGTCGAGTGGCGCGTTGACGTGCGATTAATGATTTAGCACTTGTTGCTTCTCCTGCGACTCAAGAGTCACTGAGACGTAGCCTCAGGAACCTGGTATCATTCTCTCTCACACTCGTGACGTCATTTATACCGGATGATACCGGCGATATAGCTATTTCGGTGACATTGGCACGTGTGCATGAGCTACGTAAACTCGCCCGTATGCCGCGCGAATAATTCGAAACGCGCAATGTCCCACTCGGTACTATTCAAGATCGATACGGTAGTAGATTAGTAGTTTATTAATTAAGGCAACACGCACTACACAGTGATGTCAGATCCGTTCTATTTTTAACGGTTTTTTTTATACTTTTCGCATTCGAAGTAGTATAATACAATTGTCAGTTCTTAGAAAAACGTCGAAAATACATTCTTTAAAACCTTTGTAAAGTGAAACCTTAAAGATTGAAAACCGAGCTACTATTTTTCAAGACTGGTTCAATTTCACTCTTTTTTTACTCTTTAAAGTAAGATTTCACTCCGAGAAATTTGTGAGAGCTGATTAACAAAACTATAGAACAAATTAAGTAAAGAAGAGCTAACACAATCGAAGCTTTGGTGCCATAATGTATATATAAATTTTAAATATATCTTTCAATTGTATAAACTACGCGCCGATTACTGTTGGACTTGAAATGCAATTATAAACTGGAGCTGAAATAATAATATCACAAATTAAATTGATCGCCAAATTAATAATGATGCTAATAAGCATCTTAAAAACATCGCAAATAATTTATTGCGGAAAATATTATCCTAGCCTAGGGTACCTATTCAAAACTATAGAAATATACATAGAAGATAGAAATACTTAAAATTTGTATAGGACTCTTATCATTGATAGTGCGGAATCGTTGAATTTCGTTATTATGCATTCGGATCGATTATTTACGTATACATCGGTCAAAGAAATATTTTCCGCTCTATTCCTATCCTCTTCATATGTTTTTCACATGATGTATTTTATGATCCTTTTTATTACGAAGCGAGCACCTGGAGGCAACTATTCATCTTCTGATTCATAAAAGACGAGATCCAGTCTGTGGTTCAGCTTAGCTCAGCTCAGCAATAATTTCAAAATGGCTCGAGGGTACCATAACGCTATCGGAACATTGATTCGTCACATATCCTCTATTTTCAGATCGTATTTGATGTTTTCTTTGCATTTTCACGAGTACCAAGAGCAAACACGTGTACCAAGAGGCGCGCGGAAGACTTAACTCGGGATTTCATCACCTCCGATGATGTATTCCGACGCGGAAACGCATGTGTTTCACAGTGTGTTTCATGTGTGAAGAGATGATAAGATCAGATCCCGTTCTTTAAACAGACCCGGAAATAGAACCCGGATTGAGTTTTCTCAATCGCGTACACAATCTCCAGTACGTCATGACATTTCGTGAAAATCAATCCATCTTTCGTCTCTCGGCGTACGTAGATTGTCATGTAAAACCAGAATTTAAAATAGCAATCTCCATTTCTCTCCTAGCTGTATCTCCGGTAAGATGCGTAAGTTTATCCCGCGCGATCGATGGCACGATCGCCGCAGACGTGAATAAATATTTTCCTTAAATCCATAACGTAAGCGTGATTATTTCTGTCATTTACCAGTGCGTCTTCATTTAGAGCAGACATAAACACCGTCTGTTGATGTCTCGCTCGAGTAATTTAAATAAATTACTTTTTATATGTCACGAGCTGGAAAATTGGCAAAATTAATCGCTCCTTGATCTTGGGTCTTCTTGCCAACGAAATTATCGAGTTTCATGTTGAATTTTAATAAGATTAATTATTGAAAGATTTTTTTTTGTAACAGCAATCTTTCTAATGATGAAGTCATTAAATATGTATCGAATAAGATATAAGATATGTGTGGATAAAAATAGCGCAAAACGCCATGACAAAATACTCGCGAAAATGCATAATGAAGCAAGGAAATGGTTGCGTTGATATCGTATAAGAGGTATATCGGCACCGGTATTGTAGTCGCTATTTTTTTTTATTACGCCGACTGTCGTTCCGATATGGTGAAGTACACTCCTGAAAGAGATGTCACGTTCCTCCATAATTTATCGCAGCATTTACGATCTCAGGTTTTGTTTGGAAGAGAGAGAAGGAAAGAGGCGGGGGACAAATGAGGTAGGGGGGAGAGAGAGAGAGAGAGAGAGAGAGAGAGAGAGAGAGAGAGAGAGAGAGAGAGAGCTTACGCGCCACTGTAAGATCGATGGCGACTAAAATGGACTCTTTGTCATTGCGCTACGGCGCGATTTCTTTGACAAAAATGAATTCTGCGTTGTGCACTGAATTTCACGGATACGCGAGTTTACGTGCGCTGGATGAGAAATCTTTTAAGCAGCACGATCTAACATCCTTTAATCCCGCATTCACGTAAAGCCATACACAGCTGTTCGAGGAACTTTAATGCAGGGTGTTCCTCGAGAAGAAGCTCTCGATCACGAAGAACCGATTCTTTATCGAGAGCTTCTACGAACGTAAGCTTCAAGTATCTAAAATGAAAGAGAGGAGAGCGCAGGTGGGGATTATATCCAAAGAATATAGTGAACCGAAGCCCGTTAAAAGGAATCGCTCGCGCGTATATCGAGATTAGTTTATTTAATGAAAAAGAATTTCTTGGTTAATAAACAAAGAAGGATAGATGAAAAAATATGAGAGAAAGATTAATTCAGCTATAGCGGAAAAAAAGCGTACAAAATCTGAGCGGAAATTCATTCTACAATAATCTCAATGTGAAATGGTGGAACAGAGGGTTTCGTGTTTGCGAACAGTATTGCGCTCAATGTACCGTATATGTATTGGATTCAGCGATTGCCCCTACCTTCCAATTTCCCGTTGTTGACAAGAAGGGAATTGTTCGACTTCCTGGATGAATTACGCGACATTTGGCTTTGACTTGGACTGCTGTCTGTGCTCTTTTTCTCTAGTACGTCGTGACAGCTGTACGACGTATGGGTGACCGTTAACATCGGATGCACGCTTCCTGAATCGTCCATGTGATTGCGTGAAATACAAGAAAAACAAACAACATGATTGATCAGCTTCGCAAGTTGATCTTCTATACTCGTATGCAAGACGCGGCGCAGCGTCTTGAAAGATTCATTGGTTAAATATTCATTATCCGATCTAAACATTTAATGTTCTCGAAGGCTATACTTTGTGCCGAGAAATGTACTATTTAAAATCTTTAGAGTAGAATCTAACTCTAAAGAGTGAAATTTCATTAAAAATTGTCAATTGAGTAACTCTTTTTCAACATTGATTCAATTGTCATTCTTTATCATTCTTTAGAATTAGATTCCACTCCAAAAATTTTAGAGAGCATTTAAATATGGAGTTTTTGATTTCTTGCGTTTAAGAATAAATTACAAGAATTACTCCATTTCTGAATTAAATGAATAAACATCTTTCTCTATTTTTTGCTGATAAATACTATACGTCTACCATGTTATGTTCAGGAATTAAAAATATATTCACGAGATAAATACGTGCACCATGTATATTTATTCAATGTCTCTATAGATCAACTTGGTAAAGAATCGAGAATCGATATTTAGAGCGAATTTATTTTAACGAATGGTACCGTCGGGTTTAAAGAAGTCTTCATTCAAAGCTTCTTTGGTCGGATCGATTGTTATTTGTCCACCATTTCAAAGCGAACAAATGCATATACACCGATATGTGATGCAGGGTAAAAAAATTCCAACCATCGGAATTGTCATTTTCTTTTTGGCTGCTTCTGACCTATTTTGTCACAAGAGTATTCGTTTACCGTAAAAATATAGCCTGAGAAACGGAAGGCCCGAGCGCTACCGGTACAAATTGAGAAGAAAAATATTTGCATTAAAATAGTATTGATACAGTAACCATTTTGTGTTGGTTAGTTCTTCAACAGAGCATTGTTGCAATTTTATGTATCATTACAATTTATATAATTGTAAAAAAATATAATTTATATAAATAAGATGATATTAAATATGAATTTTATTCTTACTGGATTATAGAAAAAATTTCCACATTAAAGAATGTAAAGAGTTTACGTTATATTATACATTTCACATTATTGGATAAATTAATAATTTAACCGTTACGATATCGGGCTGTCAGTAAATAATTGAAAGATATACTTTACCTGTTTTCGTTCTCGAGATTTCGCTTTCCGTTCTATGATGACCTAGAGCTTGCAATTTTTCCGTAATTCCATGAATTTTGTCGGCCAACGAGGATCCAACGTGACCCTCCGTAGATGCTCCACCTGGTACGCCGGTGCTATTAACGTTACTGCTGGAAGTCGTGTGCGATGTAATTGCGGCGCAGGCGGTTGTTGAGGAGAGCACGGCCATCTCCTGGGAGCCAACAAAACGCGGATAATACGCGGCTTTTAATTCCCGGCGCGAGCGCGCGCAAGTATCTCGTTTACCAGTATCTCTTATTGTCGCTTTTTATGTCGAAAGCGCGCTCCCCGCATGACGTGATATGCTTTTCTAGGCCGCGGTCCAATTCACGCTCACAACGCTTAAAATCATTCCATCCTTGTTGTTTGTCAAATGTTGAACGAAGACAAATGATGCCGATGAACGTTGTCAGCATGAATCGGACCACGGCCCTAGATGACCAGTGTGATACCATTGCGATTACAAGGCCCGTTTCGAGCTTGTAGTGTCACGTCGTGTCACTAAATTTGTATTAAAAATTCTCTTTTCCCTTTTTTTCTTTGTTTGGACAATTTGCATTTATGGCTATTTAAGTACTCGCAGTAGCGATAATACCATACCAGCAATCTTTATTAATTTAAACATGCGATACTTACTTTGAAGGCTTTGCCATCCACTCCGCGCGAGCCCTTCCTGACGAACGAAAGGAAAAGATGTCGGCATAATTCTTCCGGCGTATCAATCTCCAGATACGAATTCAGAAATTTGCGAAAACCCTCGTAATCGATGTCCTGGAATAGAAAAGAAATACTATTCAGTGAATTTCTTTAAAGAGTATAGGAATTTTAACGAGGCAAAAATTAAAGCATAATTTCATTTCTATCATTAATTAAGTTTTATGACGCATGTGTTATAAATTAACGTCATAACGCAGAAACTACTTTGACGATATATCATGGAAATCTATAATTAAAACAAAACTTGATATATTTTTAATTACGTATATTAAGCTATTAATAATAAACTGGCAGATGAAAAATTAAACGAGTTAGCAATCGAATTTCTCTGTATCGCGTTTTTTTTTAAATAATCGATAGTTGCAGTTAGAAGTATTTTCCGAGTACCGAAAAAAACCGTCGTTAATTAATCCGGTATACGTAAGCCGCCCTCTCGTGTTCATTTCGATTCTGTTCGATCCAAATGAATTTCACTCGACAGAAGATTAAAGCCCAACGAAACGTGACGCTTCTGCCGGTACAATGAATCTCGCAAGGTGCACATTTCGCAAATAGACTGATTACAATTACATCCGGCGACGTATATTTGGATTCCTCACGTTCTGGATAAATCGATAGTACTTGATGCGATTAACCATGCTTTGTTCATCACTATTCACAGAATTTGTTTCACCGAGGTTGCGCACGCTTAAGCCATGTTTCTTCTAATTGTAAGAGAGAAGTCTTTCCACGAAACTATATTTAAAGTTTTTAATGACACTAACGTTCTCCAAATGTATTCACCGAAACAAGAAGCTCAATACATATGGGGTGAATACTAATTATAAGTACTCTAAAAGATTTTAAGATTTAATACTCAATAACCATTTTACATCGTTCATAATTAATTCAACTATTTTATTATTGTTTAGCTTTAACCACAAACCTTCTGAAACATTTCACTTTCTTTAAAATTTCATTTTTTAACAACTGTACAAGGTAAATATTTAGTTTTCTGAAAGATTTTAATGGGTTTCTCACACAAATTCAAGACGAAAATTTCTTATGACTATGTATCTAAAACAGCTTAATTTCAAAGATATAGGGTGTCAAAGTTGAAGGAAAAATTTCATTTTTTCTAAACATTTCGAAAACAACTTGTTTTATTTTAATAAATCTTGACATATGTTTAAAGTTTCATTGAAATAAGTAATTTTCGAAATTTTAGGAAAAAAACGAAACTTTCTCTTCGACTTTGATGTATTGTATCTTTGAAATTAAGTCGTTTCGAACATATGGTGTGACATATGAAGCTTTCGTCTTCAACTTGTGGGAGGAACCCCTTAAAATCGTTTAGAGCATCTACTATCCACCAACAATTGTTAAAAAATAAAATCTTAAAAAAAGTAAAATGTTTCAGAAAGTTTGCAGTTAAAGCTAAACAATAACGAAATGGTTGAATGAATTACGAACGATGTAAAATGGTTTTATTGAGTATTTCTTTTGAGAATGCAGTGCGCGTCTCATGAAAGGAAGACAATTAAATATTGAATTTAAACAATTTCATAAAACAAAAAAGTTTATCGAATATGTGAACGTATTTATTGAATAGAACACAATCAATTAACTTTATATAAATATCGCTTTATATAACTATCGCTGCTGTCTATAAAATCGATTATGATTGAATAAACATATAAAGGGCAAAACTTAATCTATGATGACTTAAAGTAATTAAATCGCGAAGTACATAGAAATACGAATTTAGTGTTGACTTTATACTCATTAGATAACGATTATAAATAATGGATAATTAAAGAAAATGGATCATTCTGAAAGAATATAATTCACACGGAAAGAACAGTTTTACTGAAGTATCTAAAAATTTAGCTAGATACAAATCAGAAAATAATTTTATTAGTCTTAAAATAATTATGTAGGACGCTTAAGTTAGTTGCTAGAGTGTCAAAACTTTTTGCATCATTACTCGTCATGCTTGAATCTTCTACATAATTATTTTAATAATCCAAACAAAATTATTTTCAGTATTCACCTAAATTTTTAGATATTTTAGCAAAATCGTTCTTTCTGTGTATAAATATTTGCTACAATGTATCAAGCTGTACATATTCCGTAAATGTATATAAAGTTGTAGAGAGAACTAAATTGCCAGTAAAAGCAAAATGTTATATTATACTATATAACTGATAAATTTCGCTCACCAAATGTCGAAAGTGTTCCTAAAATCCGGAATATTTCCGTGCAGCCAGTTCATTCACTTTAATTAAAGCAGGAGCCAATTAAACTGGATGACGTACGCTTTCTGGGTAGAAAATTAGACAGAAAAGCGGCGGAGTTGCGGCGTCGTTACATGACATCCACACAATCGAAGGCGAAGTTCGTGCGCTTCTTTGCGCGAACTTTTGCGAGACTAACAAAAAAGTTATCCAATTCCGGAAACGCATGGCCTACATTCCGCTCGACTGAATCTGCATAGATATTGGGTCTATCTACCGCGAACAAGCGCGCATCCGCTTCTGGCGAAAATTCATTTGGCTGCACTGAAATTCGTGCTTCACCTTGTAGAATCCGATTGGGATAGGAATAGCGGAAGTACGATTCGGTAAGGAAGGAGAAAAGGAGCTTGTTTCACGGCCTGCGTGATTTAATTTTCCGCAATTTTCCGCTCGATTAATTATCAATGAGTGATCGCTGTATTGTGTTAGCGTCTATTCATTGCAAGCTCTTCAAGATTGGCATTCTTTCCTTCAACAATAACTCGTTTAAATATGCAGGCTCGTATTCAGAACGCATTTATAACAATGTTAGTGCATATATAACATATAGTATATTTACGTTATATATGTATACTATATATAGAATTTCAGAAAAGCATGCGATAAAAGCGTGTTCTCAATGGATCATAAAATGTCGAAATTAAGAGTGCGAGGGTAGTTCGAAAAGTTCTCAACCTGACATCGAAATGACGCCACAAATATCGAATTGTTATAATTTTCGACAAGTTTGATTCAGCACGGGGCTTCTGTTAAAATTTCAGACAGATACGTTCATTAGTTTCTTTGATTCGGTCGTGTAAAGTAACCAACTTTTGATTTTATCATGACAATGTATCCGCTCACGCTTCTTCAATTGTAGTCACAAAATTGCATGAATCGTGCTTCAAATTGGTTCCGTACGCACCGTATTCATCAGATTTAGCCTCCAGTGACCTTTTTCTTTTTCCAAACATGAAGAATTGGCTTGTGAAAAAGATCCACCTCAAATACTGAAGTAATCGATGAAACTAATGCTTACTTTGAACGTATATCGTTGGAATAAGTGTATTGAACCGAAAGAGGACAATGTTAAAAAAAATTAAAAATCATGTGTTTCTTTATCAAGCCGAAAACTTTCCGAACTGTCTTCGTATTTAATCGATGAAATGGCTTATCAATCTGAAGATGCTGATCAACTTAACTGACGCATCTTAAGTATGCATGTTTTACAGTGTATAATAGTAAATTTTTAATTAAAATCCAGGCAAAAATCAACAGTCATAATTATAAAGAGGAGACTTGTGAAACGCTAACCTAATTTCGAGTTTTATTTGAATAGGTCTGAGAGAACCACTATAACATTTATCGATACTCCTAGCCAAGGACGCAGGGTGTCACCTTTTTTTTCTTTTTTGCTCCGTTAAACCTGCGCTATGAGCATTAAAGACGCAAGCAGAGAATAGTTGTAAAGGGCGCGGTTCATGTTAGATCGTTGAAAACAAATTTGTAGCAATTATGAATATCTTGCAGGATAAAACGAATTAATTAATAAATAAACAAATTATGTTTTGTTTTCATCCTTTCTCTAGTTTATGAAATAATAAAAATTCGTAGTCCAATAATTATAAAATATCTACGTTCTTCTTTGCCTTTCTTCGTTGACGTTAATCGGAAAACTGCGAACCGTTATTATTAGGAAGCTGCTGTTATTATTAAGATCTTGCTTCGCGTAATAAGTCATTCTTCCGTTCTAATTTGCAAGATCATTGCAGCTCTCGCGGTATTGTGTGGTAAATTAAATGGAAATTCTTCGACCTTACTTTGAACTTAAGTTTTATAGGTAGACTCAAGTAACTTCGAAAAGATGTCTTTCTTTTAGAAACTAATTTACACCATTATATATCTGGTTCAATGAATAATAGTTATGTTTTTATCTCATTCGTTATAAAAGCTTGTAGTTGTATCTGTTTAATCCAATAAATATTATTAAATACTTACATTAAAAATGTAGCATATAACAAATTTATCATATCGTCGCGTTGATAGAAAAATGGCACAAATAAAAAATTAGTATTTTTGAGATAATAAAAAGAAATTGACTCTAAAAACTCATAGATTGAAAAAATGATGTAAATACATTTCTATGAAATATAACTTTGATATGAGATGTAATACAACCTTATATTAAGATTGCAGTGTTCGAATTTTCAAAACTCATGGCATAATTTTAAAGAACACATTATAATTGAAAGTATAACATGGAAAGAAAATGAAGTTATTCATTATCCTAATTAAGACATTGTTCCAATTCAGAAAGAATTTTTAAAATGAGCTCTATTAAAAAGTTGTTAATCTTGAGTTATTTTTAATACAAATCTTCTCTCATTAAATATATCCGTTCAATCGTTTCAAATTCTAATATAATTCTAAAAGCTGCAATTAACAACTCGATAATTCTCTGCAGTTCTTTTTTTCAAATAAGATTTCATGTTTTTTTTATCGACGAAACCAACGGTAGATTTTTGCTTACTCTCTATTGAATTTTCATATAATTTTCCTACGTCAGCGAAATATCTGGATTTACTACTGAGCCGTTAACGTGTCTGCGTCTGTTGGTCGTAATCCTATTTTGTGCATCAATTCCATAGCTATAGCGCATGTGGTCGAATGTGTTCTATTATCAACATTTTGCAGTTAAAATGATTTAGCTTCAGTCTACGATATTTCTAATTAATTAACCGCTTTCATATTTTTATCTTGCGATTTAACCATAATGTGAGTTTGTTACGAGCACTTGAT